CACACACACACACACACACAGTGAGCCAGCCCAAATGGGGGATTCAGCCAGGGTACACAACCCAGCAGGAAGACGTAGGACTCCCCCACAAGTACAGCTGTCACAGAAACCACTGAGAGAAAAAGGAAAGATAGAGAAGAGAGATGGAGACAGAAAGAGAGAGATTTAATGTCTCTGATGATTTTTAATAGTTTAATAGTTCAGCAGTGTTTCATTGTCTTTTGTCAAGTGCCCATAAAGCCATTAGACAAAAGCGAGGCTTTCAATGCCCTATTTACTCAACAACACAGCCCCTTTCTTTGTGCGCTCAGTGTGTGTGTGATTGTGTACAGTGCGTGTTGTGGATGAACCAACGGATGATCTAGTGGCTAAAATGGATTATGAGTGAGTGTAAATGGATGAAAGGTCTTTAAGAGCAGCTTTAACTGGATAGAGAGCAAAGAGCCACAAGGCATTTACATCACAAACACACAGACACACACAGCAGGATAAGTAGAGCACTGACCCAAGCATACACAAGGTCAGACACACAGAGAAGGTCTGTTTCTCCAGGGGTGGAGAGTATTGGGGGTGGTGTCCGCACATATGTACATCTGAGTGCATGCTGTGTGTGTGTGAGTGTCCATCACAGGCTGCATTAAGGGACAAATTTAACACTAAAGACAAGTTAATTGGGGACTGTTGACCAAAATTGGAAAACTTTGTCCCCACTTTGGAAAAGCAGATTTTTGGGTCAGTGGATGGGGTGAGGGTAAAGGTAAGGGTTAAGGTAAGGGTAAAGCATAAGTGAAGGGTTGAGGTCAGTTGTGGTTCGAGCAGATCTAATGAGATGAGTCATAGGCAATGATGTGATTGGCTGGTACTGGCTGTCACTGGTCAGATGACAGAATGCAACAACGATGACAAATCCAGGCAAAGAAAAAGAAGAAATTCAGCCAGATATACAAAGCCAAAGCACTGAAACTCTCTACAGGCTGTGTGCTAACCCTGAGTAGTGGTCATGTGGGTACATGGGTGTTTGTGCTACCTTTTACTGCAACTTCTCTCTGCCGTCTGTTTCTCTTCCGACATGTCTTTCTTCACTGTTTGCACAACGTTTTCCTCCACCAGAACTAAGCCACAGTTCCTCTATTTGCACAACTGGCCAGCTGCTCTGCCACCATGTGACATGTAACCCTCGGCCTCCATGGTGATGGCACTGCGGCAGTGGGTGAAATATCACCTCGCTCTCTCTGACCCTCAGCTATCACAAGGTAAACACTGAAATGTCATTGGCCCCTCCGAAGGTCACATGGTACTGGGAACATAGTGATTCTTTAGGTCAGGTGACACATTAGAGGGAAAATGCTAAATGGTCGTTGACATTCAGCATCAAACTGCCTAGCATCAAACAAGGCATCACTGCCGGCATTTAAATGTGACTGAAGAGTAGTACTTAAATGAGCAGTCAAATAGTTCCTGCACTGACTGAATTTAATTCGAGGAGCAGCTGCTCTACAGCTTTAACAAATGGATGCATGAAGACACAGGTCCGGCTGCAGTCCAAGACATATTTAGGACTTTCTTTAACGTTGGAGCTCGATGAAAAATGTCAGGCACGTTTAGGGGACTGATATTTATGAGTGCGTGCAATTTGGTGCCGAGTAAAATAAAAATCTGTATCTAGTTAATTTCAATGTGACTTCATAAGGGGACGGCTTGGCTGTGGCAGAGGTAATATAGGTAAATATATACAATTTTTATCAAGACAAATTCCAAAGAAAGATGCATCAAATCAAAAATATTCTTGGCAGATTATGTGAATGAAGAATGTTAAACAGAAAGATTATAAGGGTTAAAAAATATGTATTAATATGGGGTAATGGTATCTTGCAATTCTCATTTAGTGAAATGCTAGAAATACTGGTTCATTATTAGACCAAGCCTCAATGATATTTACACCCAGTGTCAGGCTTTTCTGTATGAATACAGCCTTACATGACATTAAACTATAGTGTGAGTGTGTGCAAGTCTGAAACCAATGAGCAGTGCACAGTTGTTTTCTGTTTTCATAAATGAAATCTATTTGACATAAAAAAGATGGTTTATGAATGAATCCCAAGTTCTTCTCAATCAGAAATTGCTTTCATGTGAGTTTTGATCTTATTTGTGTTTCTTTAATCTCCACAAACATTGTAGAGAGAAAGGTTAGTGCTGGACACATTTAAATGAATACGGCCACAAAGATGCAAAACAGTAATTGTCAGACCTTGTGTGGCCATATACACATGTAAATAATATATAACTGTAGCCAAGGGTTGTGTAAGGGGCTGCAGCTTATTAACAGTGAAAATGGACTAATAGCATAAGGGTCGGTTTTGAATCAGTGTGCAACTTGTGAGGGTTTCTCCATGTGACCAATCAGCCTCTGGACACACACACACACACACACACACACACACACACNCACACACACACACACACACACACACACACACACACACAAATAATTCGGTTAAACCGTGTAACCCCCACCACTGATGTACGCAGCCAAATAGCGGGAATACCAGGAGTCTCCATGGGATCAACACACACACAACCTTCACACTCCACAATTCTTGGAGCACCATCAACGCCTGGCTGTATGAAGAAACAGCCACACACACATGCACCTACATTGAGACACACACAAAAAAATACACACACATAACCGGAAAATAGCTGAAATTCCAGCGTGGCACCCGGACTGAGTAGCAGCAGATGCAGAGAGACTAAATACATAGATGTTGGAAGAACAGCGGAGCAAAAAGAAAGTGGGAGAAGAGCAGACTATAAATTGCAAAGTGAAGATTGAAGACGCGTCGGTGAGCGACTTGTAATTTTGTGGCCATGACATCTTGATAGATTATGGCGTAAACAGACCTGCTGCAGCAGCTGCAGTTGTTCAACCGCTAAGCTACATATTTTGTTCTTCTGTCCTCGGCCCCACCTTCTCCTCTTCTTCCCTCCCCCAATAGGGCAACACAGGGAGACACTCCTCAACTGCTTCAGTATTGATCTGGGCTGGAGGGTGTGTGTGTGTTGTGCAAATGTGTGTGTTGGGGGACTGTCCTCTTGGCTGGAATTGGGTTTCATTTAGAGGACCTATCGATTCCGTTTTGTCTGAGTGTGTCAGAGAGCATGTGTAGGTTTTCCCCCAGAATGAAAATGATCGTTGCTGGAAAAGTATCTTATCTTCTTGAAGTAATTATCTTTCAAACAGTATGTAGTTGTAGTTTCTTCATCACACAGCTCTTTCAAAGTCAACATGGCTGAGGTCACAATTAACAGGGAATCAGAGAGAGAAAGAAGACAAGCAGAAAGAGAACAAGTCCTTATCAATTCTTATAAATGCATATAACACTAAAGTATCAAATCTTGTGACTGTTCCTCTAAATTATTTGCTAAAAGATCTATTAAATATTTATCTATTGCAATTCTCTATTGTTTCCTCACTTGCTTCTGAACTCCTTACAATGGAGATGTAAGGAAGGATGGAGGAATGGCATCAACCTGAGGGGCCATCGCTGTTCAATCCAACACCACCATTTTGAAGAGTAAGCAAATAGTGATGAGGCACAACTGTCTCATAAATCATGACACAGCTTTGTGAGGCGTGCACAAACACACACACATACAAATACACACAATACTGCAGTAATGATATAATAATGATACTGCAGTAATGATCACAGAAGCCTGCGGCCCCTTCAGACAAGTAACAGCGATAAATCAACAAACACTTCTGCATGAGATATACTACATTTGTGTTTTCTTGTCAAAAGTTCCTCTGCAGGTCGCCCTTGTTTCTCTCATTTAACAATGTCCAAGTCACAGGCTGTCAGAAGAGCAAGGATGCAACGAGTCATAATTAGAAACAGAAAGCACCCTCTGCCTCCATTTATCTGTGGTAGCTTCATAGCGTGTGTGTGTGTGTTATGCTTGAGTATTCTTTCCCACAGAGCAACAGATCACTTCCCCCCCCCAAAAGCTGCCAAATAAATTACACAGCAACACATCACGCTGATAAAGCTGATAAGCTCCAGTGTGTATCTGTATGGATCTTATTTATCTGTGACGGAGAGAGAGACAGAGAGAAAGCAATTTCAAGTGATAGAGAATTGGACAAGGTTACATACTCAGCAAGACACTGCAAAATAGTCAGAGCACAAAATCACCACCTGGCCATATTTGGCTGCAGAAGAGCACACACATACACACACTGACACACACACGCACAAACACACATTACAGGGACTACGGCAGAACAATGACTGAGTCGTGAGAGTAAATCAGTACTTTACAGCAGCGGTTCTCAAAGTGGGGTCTGGAGACACCCAAGGGTCCTTGAGGGGTTCCAGGTGGGGCCCCAACCAAAAAGGGAATCATTACTTTTACTATAATTTCATCAGTAACACACTCAGAATGCTCTTTTCATACACTTCCTGCAGTAAAGCATCTAATGGTCTACATGTGTAAAGGAGTCCTGAAGGGCAAATGTTTACGAACCACGTCTTAACAGAATGACAAACATTCATGTGAACTCTATCACAATCTCTTTCAGTCTTCAGCCATCGTTCTGTTTCATTTTTCGTGTCTGCTTCAACTTCTTTTTTCTCAGGAGGGAAGTCACCAGTGTCACTCCACACTTTCTTAAGGGCTGAATGAGGAAACTGGGGTGATACATGTAACATAGGAAACTTTAGAGGGGAAGAAGAATATTGGCTGTCTCGTACACTTAAAGGTTCAGTGTGTAAGATTTAGGTGAGAGGGATTTTTGGCAGAAATTGAATATAAAATAATCCTAGGGATGTTTTCACTGGTGTGTTTCATCTAAATTGAATGAATTGATGTTTTCTTTACCATAGAATGGACCCTTTATATTTAAAAACTTTATATTTACATGAAGGGGGGTCCTCTCTGTGGAGGACACCATGTTTTTTTTTCTGTCGTCCAAAGTGGACAAACTAAAACCTTTTGAATTTTTCATGATAACCGAAGTTTACCACGGGTTCTCTTTCATGTTTGGAAGGAGAGGTTGACGTGAGGAGTATTCAGCTGCAACATGCAACTTAACCTCTAGATGTCACTCAATTCTACACACTGTACCTTTAAAACTAAAAACAATCTGTAGTCTACATGAGCGCATCATACTTGAGAAGATGGTCCTTGGTGCTGCGCGTCTTGGTGAGGAACCTCTCTGCGAGCTTCTCCAGGTTGCGGCTGTAGTCCATCTCGATCTCTGCCTTCTTCCTGAAGAAGTCCTGCAGATCCTGAAGCAGCTGCACCCTCAGCTCACACTGCTGGTCCAGACATTTAAGCTGCTCCACCAGCTGGGCACGAATCTCTGCCAGGGAGAAGAGAAGAGTGGTGGAGAGAGAAACACATGATCAGAGGTTGCATTTACATTATTATAATTATCTCAATCCAAGTGTAATCCAACGCAATGAAGCTAAACAAGACATCTGACAGAGAGTGTTTGTAAATTCAAAGGGCTCCATCCTCGTGAAGTACGTGTTATTAACAACTGGGAAGTAATCTGCATGCATTACTGTTGACAGTGCAGCGCTATCATTAAGGTACATGCCACAACAATGTGTAGGATGTTAAAGTAAAAAGCAGTTTCCTCTTAACAGGTGTGATCTTGGCTGAAATCCATTCCCCTCCCAGCAGTGAATAAAAAGCACCAACTGCTGTGTATTGTGTGTACTTCGTTTTTGTACACGTGTGCCGTAGTCATTTATCCCAGCTTATCGCTTTTCATTTTTTCTCCTGCCTCCTTCATCCCCCCTCTCCCTCCGCCATGCTGCTCTCCAGTCTGGCCTCAAATTAATAGAGTGCACTCAGCTCAGTAACCACATTCAATCACCGGCTCCGGAAAAGTCCTCTGGAGAATCCTGCCCACTGCAGTTATAGACCAAGATGCACAAAGCATCCACAGCATCACGTGCACACACCCAAACACAAACACATGGTGATAAGCTAAATCAATGCTAACACCTGATAAATTAATGCTATGGTCTCATAACCACCTGCCCATTCTCAGTAGACTGCACGAGAGTTAAGAACAGCATAGACACTTCCCCATAACTGCTCTCATGTCCACGTCTACTCAAGCTCTCTCCTACCTTTGCAGCGCTGGCTCAAAAGAAAGCGGATAGTTTTGGCCTCCATCCTGGCTTCAGTGCAGTATGGACTCCCCTCACATTCACACACTCATTCAAACACACACACATACACACACACACACACATACACACACACCCTCACAGGCAGGCAGAAACTCAGCCTCTGGCTAGCAGCGACTGGTGATGCTGCCTTTGTGTTTAACAGCTGAGAGTGCAGTTTCTCTTTACCACAAAGAGAAGTGGGATATCTGAATTTGTCTGTGACCACCATGCTCCTCCCCCCCATCTCCCACTTCTCTCTCACTCTGTCACTTTAGCCATACAACTTCTTTTACTTTGAAAACTGTAATTTCAAACTGAAACGCTCTCTGTCCACTTGAGCATTTTGGCTCTGTATCAGTTTTAATGCCCATCCATGCCAACATGTCTGAAAACGCTAATGATATTACCGCTCACATACACTGGGCATGCGCACGCTGGTGTAGACAGGAAGGCATGTGCATCTCCGCTGGACACGGGAATTGTCACAGATTCCTCAAAAAGCAGCCCACGCATTTAAACAGTTGTATCATTGTCAAATGCAGAATTGAACTACACAACAGCTGTTAGAAATGACATCAGGTCAGCAACCCTTGTAATTGATTATCTGTGTTGCTTCCTACACTGGGAGGCTAATGCTGCATGTTTTCTTCCATAGGTGAGTCATGTTATAGGAGCCTGACCAATCAGTGAAGGCTACGTTGTGACTGAAGAGACGCAGTCAGCAGGTTGTGAGTGTCTACATTTACGTTTCTGCTTGTCCGGACTATAACGCAACACATATACTTACCTCTCTGTTTCCAAAACTCTGAAGCAGTGTGGACGCCAGGCTGATGCGTTCTTAAACAACATAATACTGTGGATGTATCCTCAGTCCAGTCACTGTCAATCTTTGCTGATAAACAGGGCTGTGTGTGAGTTGTGTGACACTACAGCACAGACACTCATGTACACAACAAATAAATGCATCTGTGACTGTGCTAATGACCTGGTGTGAATACTTGCTTTGACAACACATGTTATTTTCTCGTGGTCTGCGTGTGTATGTGATTGTGTGCTTGTTTGTGTGTAATTTTCTCATCACACATCATTTTCAATGATGGGGAATGACTCAGTGTCCAACCTCTCAAGGCAGCATCCCAAAACCTCCACAGGGCGCCTTTGTAATTAGCCGCCCAGAGACAACAACAACACATGCGCAAACACCTCTGCAAACAAACAAGCGCTCCCTTGATAAGCAGCGCAAGAAGGTGACAGAAAGCGTTCCGTGATGAGCAGGTGGAGGGGTGGAGTCCCATGTGACCTCAGTGTATAGAAAGCAGGTTTAATGGGGGTAAAATTCATATAATAGGGGGGCATGCCCTGAAACCCCTCTTAGGCCCCTCACTGTCAGATTTAGATTAGGAGTGATTCTGACTGCACGCTCCATTTACAGAATATATGGTTGTGTTGACCCCACCAAAGCCAGTCCTGAGCTCTCAGTCTCGACACATACCGTGTTGATCCTGGCTGCTAAACTGAATTAATTTCCCTGAGGAATGTTTTTTTTTTCTAAATGACAGTATCCATTTAGCTGCTGTTATTGGCAGCAGGAGAGGAGTGTTAGCTGAAAGACAGGGAGCTTGGTACAGCAAAGAGGAGAGAAGCCGTCAGGAAAGATAAATGCAGGTCTTCCTTTCCGTCTTGCCCCCCTCGTTATGGTCATCATCCCCTGAGCCAGTGAGAAGTGGGATGTGAACTGGAATGTGACGCCTCCACCTCCCTCCAGACAGACCAGTCATATTTTCCAGGCAGATTTTGTAATAAGAATCTGGGATTGTACTTTACTGATGCTCTCCTTCCCTGACCTCCTCTGCCTCCTCTGTCTGTAGTGCTGAGGGCTGCCTGGCTCAGTCTGCACTTATCAGATACAGACCCACTGCACCACAGTCAAAACACACACCATAAGTTAATAGTGGTAACAAGATGATCAGGTCTTTTATCTCAAGGGAATTTCCGTGTCCCTGCAAACCTGTCTTCATACTGTACATACCAGTAGACCTGGATCTATTTAATAAGTATAGAATGTGAAAGTAGGCACATTCTATACTTGATATGTTAAGGCTTCCTTCCAGGTAATGTTTCAGACACAGGCCCTTCTTCAGACCAGGAAACATTACAGGGGGTGTAATTAAAGATTTTATGGGAGCCTCAACTGGTGACATTTTCTTTCTTCTATATTATAACTATAAAAGTATTCACTGGAGGATACTGGTCAAGGTGAAGAATCAAGAGCAGGCATCAATGTGGTTTGTGTAACATTAATTCCTATTGATATATATAAAAGTATTTGTTTAATTTTTCCTCCTGTGATCACGTTTCTCATTAAGTCATCAAAGCCACCTGTTGGTTTTTTTCTGACGCTCAGTGTGGATGATGGAGTGATACCATGTCACAGCAATGCATCCATATGGCACTGTGTGAAGAACAACAGTGAGTTCATAATATTAAATGGACAAATCTAGAAAAAATCTGAAGAATCCAAAGTCATTTTCTTCACACAAACATTTCACCCAAACCTGCCACTACTCATCATCTATTATTGATTATCTAATTAAGTCCAGAGCGAGACAAAGTAAGGCAAAAACAGAGAGCGAGAGATGGTGCATGGAGATGGAGCACCCTATGATAATGATATTACCACCATGGTCAGTGTCTGCTGTTATTTTGGAGTGGGTTGAAGGCAGCTGGTCTGGCGAGCCTCAAATCAAACCAGAATCAGACATCCTGCTGCATATGAATGAGTGAATGCACGCATGGACGGAAACAAAACTAAAAAAACAAAATCTTCTAACAAGACGCTGTTACAGGCAATCCGACCAGCTGCATGATACTTTGATCCAATTTGAGTCAAGCTTAACTTGGAAAATGAAACTCGTGTTTTTCCTGCAAAATTAGCTTAAAAGACAAAACCCCACTGGCTTTAAGCAGAGTGAGTGTTGTTCTGGCTGCTGTTGTGAGCTGGCCTACATACAGGAGGCACACACACACCGCTGTGAGGACTCATTATACCTGAAAGCACCTCAGGCTATGGCCGCAACACACACATACACACTGACAGTGATGGGACACAGTGAGCCCGAGCTGTCACTCTGAGCTGTTTTGACGGCAGATCTCCAGCTGGCGTGACCTGGAAGAGGTGTGCACAAACAACACACACACACACACATCTGCACACATGGCAACCGTTCGGCAACTGTTTACAAGTAGACGTGATGAGAGTTTGAGACAAGGCTCAAACTGGTTGGAGAGGGAGTGTGAGGGGAGGGGGACAAACAACAGAGGAACAAAAAACCAGACCAAGACGAGGATCCAGTTCATTTAAAGGGACAGTTCATGTGTATTGCAATATCACTTTTAGCTTCACAGTTTAGACCATCTTTTCTTTTACATAATTAAACTAACAGACTAACAAAGTGGGAGTGAAGTGGAGTAATTTTAGATGCCCCAAGTTCAGGTAGTAAAATCCCATTCATTTTCTCCACAGAAAATTTTACGCAACTCACATCCAAACCACCTCCACATCTTGGAAGGCTGTGAATGCTCCTGGTTGAATCATCAGTGCAACAGAGGGACAGCTGCATAGGAAGTATTCAGTTCTTTGACAGAAGGTTTTCAAATTCACTGAAGTTCTACTTTTTTGTGTTTGGAAAGATTTACCTAAACAAACTGACTGATAACACTTGAAGTCACTGAGATTACATTGAAATAACTAGTGCAGTACCCGTTCTAAACATGTCTGTTTGGAGTGGGATGTTTTTGTTTTTGGCCTGTGGTTATGCTGTTTGCAGCTTTGTTACTGCGACTCTTAAAGTGACCTGTGGTAATTGAGCTGCAGCAACTAAAGACCTGCTGCAGCTCAATTCTCAACTCCATAGAACCCTGAAGCTGCACCGCTGCTGCACAAAGAGCTGTTACCCTGTTCGACTCAGTACTATGAACCATAAACTGGAGAATCCGCTGTTGTTGCCATCGTCATGACACGACAATGTGAATTACATTGATGAGTCCCAGCCGCCACTGCTACAGAGTGCTGGTCACTTGTTAATTCAAAGTTTATTAAAATTGAATTATGACGCAGCCATTGCACCAAGTTTGACACTGCACTTCATTCGGCCCTTAACAATACACATGCTGAGAG